GCCTTGAGCTGAAGAGCTGAGGGACCCAGAGCTCAGGTCCCACAACCGACAAAAAGGAAGAAGAAAAAAACATTTTATGCTCTGAGAATATTATCCTTATTATATATATATATATATATATATATAAATTGATTTGCAAATAATCATCTCTCTCTTCTCTTCTTCTCCCCCCATCTTTCTCTCTCTCTCTTTCTCTCTCTTTTTGCCAGTCCTGGGGCTTGAACTCAGGGCCTAGGCACTGTTCCTGAGCTTCTTTTGCTCCAAGCTAGCACTCTACCACTTGAGTCATAGAACCACTTCTGGCTTTTTCTATTTATGTGATACTGAGGAATCCAACCCAGGGCCTCCTGCATGCAAGGCAAGTACTCTACCACTGAGCCACCTTCCAGCCCTCACATCAATCTCTTCTGTGATTACTTATTTTATTTTATTTTTGGTTGGTTGTGGGGCCTGAATTCTGGGCCTAGGCACTGTCCCTCAGCTCTTCAGCTCAAGAATAGTGCTCTACCACTTGAGCCACAGCACCAATTTTCTGCTTATATGGTACTAAGGAATGAACCTCATGCATGCAAGGCAAGCTCTCTACCACTGAGCCATCTTCCTACCCATTGTGTAATTTTTTTGAGTCACTTTTCCCAGTTCCAATGGTTACTTGGTTTATAATACAATGCTAGAGTGTGGAGGCTTTGCCTTGGAGGAAGATTTTTCTCTTAGCACTTTCTCGGAAGTGGCTCAAGTGGTAGAGCACTCGCCTTGAGCTGAAGAGCTGAGAGACAGCGCTCAGGCCCAGAGTTCAAGCCCAAGACCGACAAAAAAGAAAAAAGAAACCCTCATCATTAGCACTTTCTCTTTTTTGACCTACAAAACTCTAAGTTGTCTTAAGATCCTCTACTATCAAAAAACAAACCTAGGGCTGGGAATGTAGCTTAGTGGTAGAGTGCTGGCCTAGCATGCATGAAGCCCTGGGTTCAATTCTTCAGTAGCACATAAACAGAAAAAGCTGGAAATGGTGCTGTAGCTCAAGTAGTAGAGTGGTAGCCTTGAGCAAAAGAAGCTCAGGGACAGTGCCCAGGCCCTGAGTTCAAGCCCCAGGACTGGCAAAACAAAACAAAACAAAAAACAGTCAAACAGAGGTGGCTTACATTCCCCTATCTTCCTCTATTCTCTTCTCTCTTTGTAGTGCTGGATATTAAACACAGGACCTCCTACATGCTAAGAATATGCTTTTATTATTTAGCATACTTCCAGCCCCAACAGCTCCATTTTTGTCAATATGGGGATTTTTCCTTAGAACAGAGCCCTTCTCCCACTGTTACAATGGGAATGTGACCTAGACTTAGTCATAGAAGGCCATATCTCTTTTGAATTGAGATCAGGACATAGGAAAAGACTATACACTTTGACTTCTGCTAAGACTTTTGGAGAATGTTTGCTCAACGTGTGCTGACCTTGCTGTCAGGATGTAAAAGAGCATAAAAACAACCCAGAAAAAGAGAATTCAGAAGCTGTGGAGACAGATTTCTAGCATTGTCTGAAGATCTAGATCAAACCAAATTGTGATTTTAATTGAGTAAGTGGGACTAGAATCGACTGGAGTGTGGTCTATAAAACAATTATATGAATAAAAAAAGAATGCTAGGCATGGTGCTATATGCCTGTAATCCTAGCATTTGGGAGGCAAGACAGGAAGATCATTTATTTTAGTTCAGCCTGAGTGACAAAGTGAAACTCTGTTTCAAAAAGGAGGAGGGGGAGGAGGGAGAAGAGGAGAAAGAAGAAAAGGGAGAAGGAAGAGAAGGAGAAGAGGGTAGAGGAACTCTGCAAAATGAAAGTTCAATTCATGAAAAAACATTCTTAAGTGGGTATGAATGGAGTTTCCCTCCGCCATAGTGAGTCCTGACTGACACATCTCCTTCAGGTTTATCCAGTTTCATAATTTCATTTTGTGTAGAATTGAAGCCCAGAGAAGGTAAATGACTTAATCCTGCACATCCAGGTGTTGTGCAGCACAACCAAAATTATAATCCATGTCTTTTTATTTGCTGTAAGACTTTCTTTTTTTTCATTAATAAGTTTTTTTTATTGTGAAAATACAGAGGTGTATAATTGCATGAGCAAGGTAATGAGTACATTTCTTATCAAGCATTGTAGCCTCCTCCTTTGTTTCCCCTTACTATCCCTGCCCTCCCATCCCCCCCTTATAGAACCTTTTTCTTTTTTATTTTTTGGTCGGTTGTGAGGCTTGAACTCTGGGCTTGGGCGCTGTCCCTGTGCTCTTCAGCTCAAGGTGAGCACTCTACCACTTGAGCCACAGCGCCACTTCCAGTTTTCTAGTGGTTTACTGGAGATAATAGTCTCACAGAGTTTCCTGCCCGGGCTGGCTTTGAACTTTGATCCTCAGATCTCAGCCTCCTGAGTAGCTAGGATTACAGGCGTGAGCCACCGGCGCCCTGCTTAGAGCCTCTTTCTTTACCGAAAGGTTGCAGAGTAGAGAAACTTCAAAGTGGAAAGAGCCTGCTAACAACTAATGATCAATCACATCAGATAAATTGACTCTGAAGTGATACTTATAAGTCAGGATGCTTCCTTCTGTTTGAAAGCCAGACTTCTATTCACAAGGTATTGATTTCTTCACTTGTGAAAAATGCAGTAACTATACAGGGCAGAACTGCATTTCATCTTGTAGACGTGAAACCACTTAAGCCGATGCAATGCTTTGGAGCAGCACCTGCCTCTATCAGAAGCCAGGATTTTACTCAGCATGCCTGCAGGTCCTGGGAGATATTTCTACAGAGATACGGATGCAAGTCATGTGGATTTAGGAGTGGATTTAGGCCCTAGTGGCTCACATCTATAATCCTAGCTACTCAGGAGGCTGAGATCTGAGGATCATGGTTCACAGCCAGCCCAGGAAGGAAAGTATGTGAGACTCTTATCTCCAATTAACCAACAAATAAGGCAGAAGTGAAGCTGTGGCTCAGGTGGTACAGTGCTAGCCTTGAGTCTTGAGCAAAAAAGCTAAGGGATAGTACATAAGTCCTGAATTCAAGCCCCAGTAGTAGTGCATGTTTGGGCACACGTGTGCACATACAGACAGACAGAAGTAGTTCATTTGTGTGGTACAATGTGTATGGTTCCCTGGAAAGGGCTCTCTGCTTACCACCATCAAAACACAGACACTTGGATAGCCTCTGACATTCCAGGGATATTAAGTCATTTCTCAGGGTGAAGCTTTGCTCTCCTATGCCTTCCCATGCCTTTGAGAGACTTCCTTCATCTCCTTGACCTTCACTGGTTAACATTGCTAATCCTGGGTACCAAGAGATTTTCATGGTGGCTCTCTGTCTCAGATCCTGAGCCAGCTCATTGAAAGAGAATAGAGATGCCTGCAGAGCTTGAGTGTCACAAATACACTGCCACCCAACTAGTCACCTGCTCCTGTTAGCACTTTTCCAACTATCATTTCCCTCAGTTCCTACCATTTCTTCCCCAATACCAACTTGGATCCTCCTGGCAGGATCCAAGTGCCCCATAACAATACCATAGCCATCAGGAAGGAGTACTGGGGAGATGGTTGAGAGAAACAAAGGCACAATCCAAGGCAGCTGTAGCAGCATTTCCTTGAA